TCTCAAGTACCGCGGTATCCTGCTATTCCCTTAGCACGATCTAAATACTAAGAGATCACTCTTTCGTACCACGCTTCTAGCACCACGGTATCAACGGTATGTTCTTAGGTATCGCCCCAAATAAACACACCCAAGAATCACACTTTCTTCGTACCACACTTCAAAGTACACTACAGGTACTACACCTTCCCCCAATCACCGGGTTTAAGTACTTACCGCGTCTATCAATTAGTACTTTTTTTTTTGGTACCAGTATGATTATGATATCGGGGCCGCCACTCGCTCCCAAAACCCCCTCCCGATAAGAATCTGGATGATAACACTTAAGAACATTCGCACACTTAAACACTGGCATTTCTCTCGTTCTGATAACGGGGCTGACGCGGCCGGAATTACAAGGCGAAATAGCTCGTTTATTTATGAGGCGAAGAAAGAGCCAAAAAAAAAGGAAAAAAAAGAAAAAAAAGGAGAGAGAGAGAGATGGGGAGAGAAGGGTACTTACGGAGAAGGAATTGGTTCAGAAGACGAATTAGTTTAAAAAGGGAAAAAAAGAAAAAAGGGAGAGAGAGAGAAGAGAGAAGGGTACTTACGGAGAAGGAATTGGTTCAGAAGACGAATTAGTTTAAAAAAGGAAAAAAAAGAAAAAAGGAGAGAGAGAGAGAGAGAGAAGGGTACTTACGGAGATGGAATTGGTTCAGAAGAAGAAGAAGAATTGGGGGATTTGGTTTGGGAGTTTATTTCACAAGAGGATTTGGGGGATTTTGAGGACATGTGGATATTGTAGGTTGGCTTAGTTTGTGGATCTGTTATTTAAATCAATGTGAAAATGTTTTCAGGATTATAAATCAGAATTAGAATTGCGATCGAAATATTCTACGATGAAAAAAAAAGATTAATAATAACGAATTTTTATCCTATTCTCATAATGAATAACAATACATACATATATATACACACACATACATATTTATGTGAATACATATACATACACATATATTACATACCGCTCTTCTGCTAGTTCGAATATTCCACAAAAAAAAAAAAAAATATTCCCCAACCATGGCCACATTCCGTACATCTTTCCAGGTTTGTCATTTTTTCGAGTGAAGCGTCCACGTGCGCCTCCAAGAGCAATGGAGAGCAGCCTCGGCGAAACCACACGCGGCCGAACACCAATTAATCAAATACTAATTTTTTTCTCTCTTTTCGCAGCTTTTGGAAACTGCTGCTGGCGGCTGAGGATCTCGCGCTTGCTTATGTTATCGTTATCGTTATATTATTATTGTTATTATTGTTATTTTCATTATTGCTGTTACTGATTCTGTTATTTTCATTTTCAGACTTATCATTATCAGTATTATTATCATCAATACCATAATCATTATTATTACTATCACCATTATTACTGTTATTTTTATTACCATCATCATTATTGTCACCACCATTATTATATCATCATCAATATCATAATAATTATTATTACTATTATCAGCATTATCAGCATCATCAGTGAGAGGTACAGAAAAATTAGATGAAAGACGAAGACAGAGAAAGAGAAAATCGAGGGAGAAAGACGGAAAGAACCGAGATCGGAAGAGGAGGAAAATGAAGAGACACAGATAGAGAGCGAGACAGAAAAACACAAGACAGACAGAGAGTGCGAGAGAGAGAGAGAGAGAGAGAGAGAAGAGAGAGAGAAAGAGAAAGAAAGAAAGAAAGAAAGAAAGAGAAAGAAAGAAAGAAAGAAAGAAAGAAAAGAGAGAGAGAGAGAGAGAGAGAGAGAGAGAAAGACTGAGAGACAGAGAGACAGACAGAGACAGAAACAAACAGACAGACAGACAGATCCAAACACACACAGAACGAGAGGCAGAGGCGCTGAGGCAGAATCACTGGCGGCACAAGTGAAGCGTGATCGGGGTAGTGTGTGCCAAGCAATTATAGGCACTATGAACGTCCCTTTGGTCTGTTGTGCATGCCCCTATGGGCGGGCGACGGAGGGGGAGATGGGAAAGAGAGAGAGAGAGAGAGAGAAGGGGGGAGAAGGACAGAGAGAGAGAGAGAGAGAGAGAAGGAGGGAGAAGGACAGAGATGGACAGAGATACAGAAAGATAGTCAGACAGACAGAGAGAGAGAGAGAAGGAGAGAGAAGGACGGAGATGGACAGAGATACAGAAAAATAGTCAGACAGAGAGAGGGAGGGAGAGAGAGAGAGAGAGAGAGAGAGAGAGAGAGAGAGAGAGAGAGAGAGAGAGAGAGAGAGAGAGAGAGAGAGAGAGAGAGAGGAAAGAAAAGATAAACAGATAGATAGATATAGATATAGATAAACAGGCAAAAATATTGAGAGACGAAGGAGGAGGCGAAACGAAATCGCGTTTGTAAGCGAATGTAGTTAAGAAAATAAGGAGATAAGTACAGAATAAGATTGTCGCTATTGTTTTTCATTAATTTCATTTTTAATATATATATACATACATACAGGGAGGGAGAGAGAGAGATTGATAGATAGACAGATAGGGAGAGAGAGAGAGAGAGAGAGAGACAGACAGACAGACAGACAGACAGACAGAAAGAGAATCAGAGAGACAGAGAGAGAGAGGACAACACAAAAAAAAACATACAAACATACAAGAAAAAAAATCATATCAAAAGTAGGAATGAGAAATTAGAAAAAAGGGACAACATAAAGTGACGAAGTAAAGAGGAAATTGCATGAGAAACGGAGATAATAACTGGACAGACGAGATAATGATAACGAAAAAAAGACAGCGAGAGAGAACGAGAGAGAGAGAGAGAGAGAGAGACCCAAGAAGGAGTAAATAGGCGTGGGAAACTCGCACGATTGGTGGAGAAAGGAGGGGAAGGAAATAAAGGATGATAATTAGGAAACAGGAGAAGGGGGTCAAGAAAAATGAGGAATAAGCTGTGTTTATTTGCCATTCACACCGCTGTTGCTAATAATGATAATGATAATAATATTATGACAATGATACTGAAATCAGTAATTATATTAATACCAATAGTAATAATCATAATAAGTGGCTAATAACAATTATCACAATAATGACAATAATGATAACAACGACAGTAATACTAATTATGGTAACATTATAAAAAGAAAAATAATTTCAATGGAGATGATAATGATAACAATAGTAATAGCAGTAATAGTAATAACAATAATAATGATAATAATGATACGGATATGATTAAATTAATAATATCAATAATAATAATAACAATAATAATAACAGTTATGATATTGATAATACTAATGATGACAATAATGATGCTGATATTGCTAATAATAACAATATTAGTATTAATAATAATGACAAATAAATAAATAATAATAATAATAATAATAATAATAATAACATCAACAAAACAACAACAATAATAATAAAAATAATAATGAAAATAATAATGATAATAACAATAATGATGATAATAACAATAATAATAATAATAATAACAATAATAATAATAATAATAATAATAATAATTATAATAATAATAATAAAAATGCTGATAATAATAACAACAATAACAATAATCATGATAATAACAATAGTAATAGCAATATAAGGAAAACACGTCACACGCCAAATATCAATAATGATAATGATAATAGAGATAATGACAATAAAGCTATTGGTTGACAGCGAATCTTCAAACGATCAGATAGTTTCGCCGAGTGAATTAAAAGACAAAATTCGATTTTCTTTTTTTTTTATGTTGGATAATTTCCGAGATAAGTGAAATATACCTGAAGATTATCCATAAATTATAGCTTGTCTTTTTTTTCTTCTTCTTTCTCTTTCTTTGTTCTTCGTCTTCGTCTTATTCTTTCTTCTTCGACTTTTCCTTCTGGTATTTCCATCTCTCTCTATCTATCTATCTCTATCTCTATCTCTCTCTCTCTCTCTCTCTCTCTCTCTCTCTCTCTCTCTCTCTCTCTCTCTCTCTCTCTCTCTCTCTCTCTCTCTCCTTCTCCTCTCTCTCTCTCTCTCTCCTCTCTCTCCCTCTCCCTCTCCCTCTCTCTCTCTCTCTCTCCTCTCTCTCTCTCTCTCTCTCTCTCTCTCCTCTCTCTCTCTCTCTCTCTCTCTCTCTCTCTCTCTCTCTCTCTCTCTCTCTCTCTCTCTCTCTCTCTCTCTCTCTCTCTCTCTCTCTCTCTCTCTCCCTCTCCCTCTCCCTCTCCCTCTCCCTCTCCCTCTCCTTCTCCTTCTCCTTCTCCCTCTCTCTTTCTTCTCTCCCTCTTCCTCTCGCTCTCCCTCTCCCTCTCTCTCTCCGTATACTTCCCTGGCGATATATTCCTGATATAACCATCGACATCAAGCGATATACACTTCATGCCAGTCATTATCATGTTTTATTGTTGTTAACTGCGCGTTTTCGTTATACTTTGAGCGATAACGTATACAGAGCTTTCTTCGCGAGCCAAATTTTTATGCATATGTTTTTATTTATATGTCTGTTCGTTTCTGATGACTTGTCTTGTTGTCCATTTATCTATTTCGTTATCTGTTTATAGACTGATGTCTTCTTTGGATTTGTTGTTGGCAGGTTGTTTTTTTAAGTGTCCTCTGTGATTTTCCTTTTATCTTGTATTCTATGTTTGTATACATACACATATACATACATACATATATATATATATATATATATATATATATATATATATATATATATATATATATGTATGTATGTATGTATGTATGTATGTATAGGAATGTGATGTTTGTATAGTATATAAAGGTGAGGCTGCATACATTAAAATTCACACAGCAATATTTTGGTATTTTTTGGCGCTAACAATTAACCCCCCCCCCCTCCCTCCCCCTGCCCCTTTGGGCATGAGGTGCCAAGGTGCCAAGGGGGGGGGGGGAGTGCCAACGGCCGGAGGGGCCGGCACGAGCGAACAGAAAGGAAGAGCAGCCTGGGGCCGCGCCGCCCGAGGAAGGGAGGGCAGCGGCGAAAGGAACACGGGCGTGGGCACTGACCGTCGACGGAGGGCGAAGGGCACTGGGACGTGAGGTAGGAGCTCATGGGGTAGCCCGGGTAGGAGCTCTGCGGGTACATGGGCGGGAATCCGTAGCCGGGCGGGTTGTAGCCCGGGGTGGGCGCCTGCTGGTAGCCCAAGGGCTGCGCGTAGGGCGGCGTGTGGGCCATGCTCGCCAGCCCCTGCTGCGGCAGGTCCATGTACTTGGAGGCCAGGTCCTGGTCGGGCATGGTGGCTGTTTCCGCCGACGCCAGTTTGGTTGGTCGGGCGTTTCGCGGGCTTGTCGGTCGGGCGGGCGGGCGGGGGTCGGGTTCGGCGGTCGGTTGGCAGTCGGGAGGGGGGTGTGGGGGGAGGATTTACAAACGGATTACACACACACAGCGATCAGTCACTTGGAACGAACGGGACATGCGGATCGCATTGGGAAATCACGTTACTCAAAGCACCACGTGACACTGGGCGGCGGCAGATAGGCCTGGCCTGAGTCGCCGCGCCGAACACTCTCGGATTCACCCTACAGTACTTAGCCTGACTGCGGAAGAGATACTTGTGAGAGCGAATAAACCTTCGAGGTAAGATCTATCCAGCCTGGAGCCATAGCCACGCCCCTCCTCGCGCCGTCCGGACACGCGATTGGCCCAGCCGCCCCACGGGAGCCTGTTGCGACGGGTGACGTCACCGCTCACGCCCCTTCTGGAATCGCTCCGACCAATCAGCACGCCCCCTTTTTCCATAACCCTTCCCTACCTCCCCCCTGCCCCCCTCTCCCGCCCGTGACTCGAGCCCGGCCCATTCCAGTACGACTCCCGGACGAGGCATGGAACGGCCGACTGTCGTATTCTCTGCACAAGAAATGGAGCATGCAAAGTGCAGCTAACATTTATGGCAATTATACACACGGCTCTGTACAATGTGTGTGTGGATATATTGAATTTGAGTTCCGTTAACTCCACGTAGAAGGTACATCCGGGAAAGGAAGAAATGTACTCGTAACGAGGGGAAAAGAGGGGAGGAGAGAGAGAGAGAGGGCGGAGGAGGGGAGAGGAGGGTGGAAGAAAGAAGAGGGGAAGGGAGGGAGAGAGAGGAAGGAGGAGGGGAGAGGAGGTAGGAAGAAAGGAGAAGAGGGGACGGAGGAAATAAAGAAATGAGGAAAAGATGAAGAGGGGGAAAATAAGAAGATGGGGAGGAGGCTGCAGGCAGATAGAAGAAAAAGCAAGAGAAAGAAGAAAAGAGAAGAGAGGGAGAAGGGAACTATAAGAAGGAGAGGGGAAATATAGAGAAGTAGAAGAGGGGAAAGGAAAGAAAGAAAAATGAAGAGAATAAGAAACGAAAGAAAAGAAGAAAAGTGCAAAATGACAAGAAGAGAATAGAAAAAAAATCGAGAAAAGAAGGGAAAGAGAGAAGAGGGTGAAGATAAGAAAGAGGAAGAAAGCGAAGAGGGGAAAGGAGGGGAGGAGGAAAAGAGGGCAAGAACAGGAAGATGAGGTCGTTCCTAAGGTGTTACGACCTTTGTTTTTTTGACTTCACGTGAGATGTGACATGATAAGACATGACAGGTGAAGCGATGTCATGAATAAAAAAAATATATAATACTCCCCCACCTCTCCCCTTCCCTCCATTCTCCCCCCCCCATCCACCCTCCCCTTTCTCTTCCCTCTCCCTTTCCATCCTTCTCTTCCCCTCCACTCCCTTCCCCTCCTTCTCTCCCCTCCACCCCCCTTCTATTCCCCTCTCCCTCCCTCCTTTCTCTCCCCCTCTCCCCCTTCTCTCCCCTCCTCTCCCCTCTCCTCCCTCTCTTCCTCCTCCCCTCTTCCTCCCCTCTCTTCCTCTCTTCCTCCTCTTCCCTCCTCTTCCTCCCCCCCCTTTTCCCTCCCCCCCCTTTCAAACACCGCCGTGAAGGCATATATTTTAATGTCTTCTCAACACGCAAAAAAATATATATGTATATCAAAGACAAAAAGAAAAGAAAAAATATAAAGAGAGTATTTTTTTTTTCTTTTTCTTTTCTCTTAACATTTATTTATTTATTATCATTATCATTATCATTATTATTATTATTATCGTTATTGTTATCATCTTTATTCACTTTGTCTATGTCCTATTTTCTATAAATTTCCCTCGCTCTGTTTCATTTCATTTCGTTTCATTTCTTTAATTTCTTATTCCTCTTCTTTGTTCATTTTACTTTTTTTCCTTTCTTTATTTTTTTATTTCGCATTTCTTCACCTTATTCATTTCTTTATTTGCTATTCTCATTAGCTTTATTATCATCATTATCTTTATTATTATAATCATTATTATTACTATTATCATTATCATTATTGTTATTCTCATCATTATCATTATTGTTATTCTCATCATTATTGTTATCATAATTACCAACATTGTTCTTATTATCATTGTTTATTATTATTATTATCATAAAATATTATTATTGTTATTTTTAATTTTTTTTTATCTAATTCTTTTATCTAATCAATATGATAATTCATTAGTATGAT